GCGCCCGTAGTCCCAGCTACCTGGGAGGCTGAGACAAGAGGATCACTTGAGCCCAAGAGTTTGAGGTTGCTGTGAGCTATGATGCCACAGCTCTACCAAGGGAGACAAAGTGAAACTCTGTCTCAAAATAAAGTTTATTTATACCCATGTACTCAAAAATGTTTTCAAACAAACTCTAATGTGGTGCAAATCTTAACTCAGAGAAATCATTCACTTGAGTGCTTCTGACCATGAGAAAAACACAGTGACTGAGGTAGGAGAGGAGCAATGCTCCTCCTAAGTAATCCTCCTGCCTTAGAAATTTCCAGAACTTTGTTTTACAAACATACAAAGCCCCTGCGTTATGTGTCTTTCTCCTGTGTATTTAACATACACAGATAAATGAGTGAATGAAGAGATTTCTTGTCACTTAATACACTTCCCAAGGGAAGAATCTTAAGAGATGGAGGATAGAGCCTGCTCATGTTTCTGACACTGGATGCCTCAAAAGGAAACCGAGATAGACAGATGCCTGGCGCAGGTGTGGTCTCGGGACTCAGGTTTCCCTAGATTCAATAGTAATGCTTTCTACAGCTCCCTGCAGCTCAGCCACGAGGAGGCCACCATGTCCTCCAGGGCTCCTTTAAGGTTCAGGCGGGCCGCGTAGCTACTGTTTGTGGTCAGGCTGGAAGAAGCCGGCCTCTGGCACAGTGCCATGTGTGTTGTCAGGTCTGTACAAACCTATCCAGGTGATAGGCTAAGTTCTCATTGCTTACCTCTGGAAACTTGAGGATTTAGGCCCTCTGGAAAACGACTATATAGGGGAGAGAATCCTGTTTCCATCACTTACTGGCTGTGCAGACTTGAGGGGTTATTCCCTGCAATCACAGCAAAATGCCTGTCAACAGGCTGTGAATAGAATTAAGTGAGAGACCGGAGGGGATTGTACCTGGAACACAGTCTGCAGCCAGCGGCTCAGCAGTCATTCACGTGACTTTTCTTTCTGATAGGTACAATATTCCTATTTTTTCCCATGCTCTGTTTTCTAAGAAGCATGGAACTAAGTTTTTGTTTGTTTTACAAAGTAACTTCTTCTAGTCTGGATTTTCAAGAATTGTTATCTTCCGATTTCCAATTCTCACCTTGATTTTGGTCTGACTCAAAGTCCTCTTTTATTCTCAGATCTAGAAGGACATGGGACCTGAGAATTTCAAGTTTCTGGTCCCCCGTCCTTCTGGTTTGACTGCTTCAGAGAATGAATGGGCTTATGAGCCAGGCAGGTTAGGACTGCAAAAGTGAGGAAAGTTCAAGGCTAAGACCATTTAGGGGTGAGGAATGGGCAGGGGCTAGATGTTTAGGAACCAGCCTGCTGGTAGAGTTGGCCCTAGGAAGGAATCCAGCGTTCAAAACCATAACACTCAGAGTTGCTTAGGGAGGACAGACTGACTCTCAGCTGCTGTCAGAATCCAGGGGGTTATGAATAGTGAGTGGGGGTTCTCGTTCTCAAAGTGAGTGTGTGGCAACATTCTGGGCCACCACAGGGGGTCAGGGTGGGTCCGGGACAGGGAGGCCAGGCTTTAGGAAAGATGATATTCTAAAGATTTGTGGGACCTGAAGCTTTTACAATCTGGGAGGCCTACTTGATGTCTGCGTGGTTATTCAGGGCAGCCAGCTCAGCTTCAGGTCTCCCTGTGTGGAAGTGACACCACCTGTACTGGCGGGCCTATGAGGACATGTTCAGATGAGCACAGAGATTAGGAAGCACTCAGCACCCTCTGTGCCTGGTGGCCAAGTCAGGCAAAAGATAAGGATTTGCACACACTGGGAAGGATTTGCACACACTAGTTTGTTTATTCAGTCACTGCAACAAAAAATAGTTACTTTCTGTGCCTTGAGAAACAAAGAGGATGAAGGCCCTGTCCCTGTTCTCAGGGAGTTCCTACCATCAGTAAGTGACACTTAGACATGAAGCCTGATTCCCCAGAGGAGGTTACCTGCGGAGCCCAAGAGCCCTTTGGAAGAGAAATGAGGAGAAGGCCATGACCGTGACTCAGCCCTGGGGCAGGGGTAGGTGGACTTGCTCAAAGGTCAGGAACAGGTTACTCTTGCACTTCTGAAAGGAGTAGGAAGACCAACTGTCCCAGCCGGTCCTGCACTGTCCTGGCTTTAGCAATGACAGTCCTGTATTCTAAGAAATGTATCAGTCACTGGAAAACCAGAATGGAGGGAGGGACACTGACTAGTTTCCTCGGAGGCATCACAGTCTCTGGGCTCAGTCTGGAGGCACCATTCATTTCCCTTCAGGGTGTGGCAGGGAATGGTGACCTTCACACGATTTCTAGCTCCGAGGAAGAGGAACTGCATCTAAACCTCTTGAGAGTGTGGGAGGCTGGTGCGAGGATTTGCAATCCCAGCCCACTGTGAGAGGAGAATGTGTTAAGAAGTGACAGTGGTGGGGAAAGAGCCTGGGAAAGCAGCCATGCCAGAACCTGAAGAGAGGCAGCACCCCGGACAGACGAAGGTAAAGGCCACCAGGTGACGGAGCACACAGCACCCGTGGGCTTTGAATCAAGAACAGTGCACAGACCCACTAACAAAAGGGCCTTGGAAGCCTCTGAGCCCTGTGCCTGTCACCCACATACCCCTTTCCCTCCAGCAGAGCAGGGTGAGAGGTGCTGGCAGAGAACAAAGACTTTGGAATAAACACAGTATCCCTTTGTTCCGCCAGGCCTCTCCTAAGCAACATTCTGTCCAGTTAGGGAAATCAGCTCTGCACTTTAAATCTCTGATCTTCATGTTTAGTTTACCCAATACCTAGCACCTAGAATTATACACAAAATTTTGTGGGTATAAGCACCATCTTGGGAAAATGGGCTCTCAAAGAGGTGCTGAAGATATGAAAACTATTTAAGAAACATGACCCTGGCTTGGCACCTGTAGCACAGTAGTTATGGCCCTGTCCATATGCACCGAGGCTGACAGGTTCAAGCCCAGCCCGGGCCAGCTAAACAATGACAACTGCAACAAAAAACAGCCAGGCGTTGTGGTGGGCGCCTGTAGTCCCAGCTACTGGGGAGGCTGAGGCAAGAAAATCGCTTAAGCCCAAGAGTTTGAGGGACAGACATGGTGGCTCATGCCTATAATCCTAGCACTCTGGGAGGCTAAGGTGGGTGGATTGCTTGAGTTCACAGGATTGAGACCATGCCTATAATCCTCTGGGAGGCCAAGGTGGGCAGATTGCCTGAGCTCACAGGTTGGAGACCAGTCTGAGCTACAGCAAGACCCATGTCTCTAAAAATAGCTGGGTGTTGTGGGTGCCTGTAGTCCCAGCTACTTGGGAGGCTGAGGCAAGAGTTTGAGGTTGCTGTGAGGTCTGATGCTGCAGCACTCTACTGAGGGGCAACAAACTAAAACTCTGTCTAAAAAAAAAAAAGGTAAAAATAAAATGTTTCACGAAAAAACACATCCATCTTACTTTGATAACTTTACAAAAAGAAGATAATATTTTCAGACATTGACTTTATAAAGTGCTGGTGGCCAATGAGAGGTGGTGCAGGCATTACCCCCATCCTACTTCCTATATATCAGGACCCTCTCTGTCCCCAAGGACTGTGGGCTGGAGGCTAGTGAACCTGACTTACAAGGATCTTGCAATTTCCACACGCCTCTCTTCGTCCCTTTTTACCAACTGTTAGGAAGAGCCCATGCCCCGTGGGCAGCAACAAATGGCAAAGGACCACTGTGAGGCTTTCAGATTCCAAAAACAGCGACTGCTGGGGTGCAGCGTGATGGCAAAAGCAGCCACGCTAACCTTTCTCCTTTCTTTCTCACCAGAGTGCTGGGGAAGGCCTTCTCCTTGTGATAGTCTTGCTCTTTCTGTCATATCTCATTTAACAGATACTGATTTGTATTATATTTGCAAACTTTAGCAACTTTTATGGGGAGAGAAGTCTCCAGCATATTATTAAATACTTTTGGCTGAATTTTGAATTTTTCATGTCATTTTCTTTTACTTCATTTTTGAAAAATATTGCTTTATTTCATCTAGCTCTAATATAGTCAGTGGATGTGCATTTTTGCATTGATAAAATTGCACCTAAATGTCAGCAAAATAAAAGAAACAGAAAGAAAAGGAACTCCTTATGTCGGCGACCTCTACAGATGTTTTAAGCTTTGAAAAGTCTCTGCATGAATGCATAGACCCAGCTTAGCCTGTCAAAGTTACTCAGAAGCTAAATAACAATTTCTCCAGCCCTTATGTCATAATCACAGGTAAGAAGTTAAAGAATGTACATTACCGTGACTTGGGAGATTTTTTAATATAAACTAGCCTATTCCTTTTCTCATAATTAGCATAAGGGGTAGCTTATTTTTCTAGTAGAGGTTTCTAAAATATAGCCAGGGTTAAAAGATACGCAGGCACTTCCTCTCAGCAAGCTAGGAGATTTGAAAGACTTAACTAGAATTAAGGGCCACGTCCACCCCAAACCCAGGGGTGTGCGTTGGCAGACTCAGTCAGGCCCACGAGGGTGCCAAGGCCACGCCCCGCGAGCACCGCAGCGAGGCGCGCTCGCCTCCACCCGCCGGGCGCGCGGGCGTGACGTCACGGCGTCGGGGCGGGGCCCGCGGCAGAGGCCGGACCGCCCCCGGATCTCGCGGAGGGGGCGGGGCGGGGCGGGGGCCCGGCCGGGCTGGCTGGGCCCGTGAAGCGCCCTGGGTCCCTGAGGCGGCCGCCTTTATAACGCGCCCGCTTGGGTGGCGGCTGCAGCGGAGACTCATGCAGGGTCGGGATGTCGGGGATGCCCACCGACCAGAAGCAGGGGCGTTCAGCGCCCACGGACCAGAAGCCGGGGCGCTCGGAGCAGAGCGCACCAGATCCGAAGCGCACTGGCTTCGTGCTGGGGCTGGACGTGGGCAGCTCTGTGATCCGCTGCCACGTCTATGACCGGGCAACGCGGATCCGTGGCTCCTGCGCGCAGAAGGTGACTGGGGAGCGGGTGTCGGGGAGGGGGTCTGGGGCTCGCGGAGCACCCAGGATCAGCCGCGGGAGGCGAGCGGGGCGTCCACACCTCCCCGCATGGGCGCGGCCACCTGCGGAACCGGCGTGCCCTGGGTTTGGAGCCGCGCGCGAGGACGGGCCAGACCTCTGCTTTCCTTCCCTGGCCCGGGCTGAGCCCTGCACGCCCTTCCTGTCCAGACCAAAGTTACTAGAGGCCCGGTGTGTGACCCGGGGCCCCTCGCTTCCTTCACCTGGAGAGCCACCTCTGTGGCCTTACCTGGGTGCGACGGAGGTGACTGGCAGGGCAGGACTGGGCAGGAAGCCTGTAATCCAGTTATATATAGCGTGCTTTGTCACTTGCTTAGTTTTTCCTGTACTTCCTTAATAGACCGTCGACCTCGTATTTATTTACATTTTAATTTTTCTCATCCTGATAGAATTCAAATTTGTTGTCTCTTCTTCGGTAGTCATCATTATTAACCACTTCTCAGAGTGCTGGCTCCTAAAACGAGCACCTGATTTCCGTGGATAACGGAGGTATTGCGCAAGTTTTGAACGTTGTATTGTTAGCACTTTTCTTCTTTTTGTCTTTGAGAATTCATAAAAGTATCATTTTTCTGGTTTGAGAAGCCTACCAAGTCATGTTATCAGTGAAGCATTGAACTACTGAGGATGTTGGTCAGTAATCAACAAATTGGTGTTTTTCTGTTCTCTCTTTAGTGAAACATTGGTATCTACACAGTTGTCAATGACCAAAAATAATATTTATTGGATATGGTGTTTTTATTCACTCCTTTTTCCAATACCAACGTCTTTTGATGTTAAGTGCTAGGGAGGACAGGAGTCAGCAGGTGCCTAAACAATTCCCATCAGCAGGGATTCCCCTTTTTTCTAATTATCTATTGGACCCTTTGTACCATCCTCTTAGAGATGTTTTTCTTCACAGCAGTTGCCCAGGAATAGGTCCAGCTAGGGTACAAGCAAGCAGTGATTGATTTGAGCATTTGTTTTGAGGAAACAGCAGATTTCTATTCAGGTTTCAAGACCAAAACAGTGAGCTGGTATTGCAGCAGCTCCCCTGGTCCCTTCTCTGGCCAGTGGTGTGGAAACACTGCCTGCCTTGGTATGTATGGGGCATTTTGTCCAACCCCAACCTGAAAGGAGTTGAAAGGCAGACGCTGTCCTTCAGGGATTGGTGCTCCTTGTTTTTTTATGAGTCTTTGTTCCCAAGATAATGATACTTTTTACTGTCTTCCTTACAATTCTAGACACAAAGTACTCTCCCTGTAAGCAGTGATTAAAAAAAAGGCATTGAGGGCGGCGCCTGTGGCTCAGTGGGTAGGGCACCAGCTCCTTATACTGAGGGTGATGGGTTCGAACCCAGCCCTAGCCAAACTGCAACAACATCAAAAAAATAGCCACGCATTGTGGTGGGCTCCTGTAGTCCCAGTTACTCGGGAGGCTGAGGCAAGAGAATCGCCTAAGCCCAGGAGTTGGAGGTTGTTGTGAGCTGTGACCCCATGGTACTCTACGGAGGGCAACAAAGTGAGACTATCTCTAAATAAATAAATAAATAAAGGGAGAAATAAATTATTAGAAAATGCAGAGTTTCACAGTTGCTGTATAATTTGGGGCAAATCATTAGTTTTTTAGAAAACAAGTTAATCTCAAAGGTGACTTGGGGCCTGTTGCTCAGTGGCTGGGGCACCAGCCACATACACCAAGGCTGGCAGGTTCGAACACAGCCTGGGCCTACTGAAACAACAATGACAACTGCAACAGGAAAATAGCCGGGCGTTGTGGCGGGCACCTGTAGTCCCAGCTACTTGGGAGGCTGAGGCAAGAGAATCACTTAATCCTAGGAGTTGGAGGTTGCTGTGAGCTGTGAAGCTACGGTACTCTACCGAGGGCGATAAAGTGAGACTGTGTCTCCAAAAAAAGGAAAAAGAAAAATCTCAAAGGCGAAACACAATTGCTGTGATTGGCAGGAGGCTAGGATGGTTTGCTTAGACCAACTCTAAACTGTGAAAGTCTCTGGAAAAAGATGTGAGTAAATAAAAATATAAGAAATCTCTGCTCCTTAAGAATGAAGCACAGTTTTAGATTAAGTTTATAGAACTGCCTTGCAAACTGTGGTAGGAGTTTATAGCAATACTTCTTAAAATGTGTAGAAACTTGTGTGGCAATTTGGCAGAGTAATTTTTGTGTATTGATTAATATTAAAACATTTGAGATTTTGTCACTTTTTTCTAGAAACTTATTTTAATTGTCTTAAAAATTGTTGATCCACAATGTATAGAAACTTAACAACAGAAAGAAACAAAAAAACCAAGCAGGACCTGGCCCTTTATTGCAGACAGCTTGAGTTCTTTGGGAATGAGGGTCTTGTTGATCTACGTTGCTACATAGCATCTGGCTTATTACACCAAGGGTTCAGAGTAAATGCAGTAGAAACTATGTAAGTTGACCACCCAAGGGACTATAACAAACGAGTCCACGTATGGAGGTGCTCAACACAAGGAATTAGGCCTACTGTGCTGATATATATATATATGGTACATGTCTAGTCTATGAAAATTCAGTCAATTTATGGCGGTGGTCAGTGTAGGGAGGTGGTCAACTGTGGAGGTTCTACTGTAATTGAATTGCAGTTTACGTGTTAGGAATTCATAGGACTGTATGACTTAGACACAGAACTAGATTATGTTTATTTTCTCAAGTGAGAATCACACCTCTGCTCATATAGTGTTATGATGGAAAGAATGTATACTAGAAACTTAAAGTCTGTTAGTATAGGATTTGATTGATAATTGATGAATAAATAGCTTTTAAAAAAAAAGAGAGGAAAGGCCGGGTGTGGTGGCTCACACCTATAATCCTAGCACTCTGGGAGGCTGAGGTGGGGATTGATTGAGCTCACAAATTCATGACCAGCCTGAGCAAGAGCAAGACCACATCTCTAAAAATACCTCTGCGTTGTTGTGGGCTCCTGTTGTCCCAGCTACTCAGGAGGCTGAGGCAAGAGAATCGCTTGAGTCCAGGAGTTTGAGATTGCAAGCTTATGATGCCACAGTACCTCTACCAAGGGCAACAAAGTGAGACTATCTTCAAAAAAAAAAAGGAAAAAAAAGATATCACCCATTACCCTTTAGAAACAAGAACAAAATAGGCCATGGCATTCATTTTTTTGCTTAACACAGAGATACATTTTAAACGTTTTTCTATTTTCTATGTATATGATTATTATATATTTTATATATATTCTATTTTATATGTATATGATTATTATATATATTTTATGTTTTCATATATTACATATATATTTATATATTATATATTTTTATATGTTTTCATATATTTTATATATACTATTTCTATTTTATATGTATATGATTATTGTATATATTTTATATGTATATGATTATTATAATTTTATATATATCATATACATATATATTTTTTCTATTTTATATGTATTATATGATATATATATATATATATATTTTTTTTTTTTTTTTTTTTTTTCCTGAGACAGAGTCTTACCAGAGTCTACCCTGGGTAGAGGGCTGTGGCATGGCTCACAGCAATCTTGAACTCCTGGGCTCAAGGCGTCTCACTCTTATTCAGGCTGGTCTCGAACTCCTGAGCTCAAGCAGTCTACCTGCCTCAGTTTCCCAGAGTGCTGGGATTGCAGGCGTCAACCATTGCACCAGCCCGTAAGAAAGACTTAAAAATATATTATAGAGGCTGGGTGTGGTGGCTCACGCCTGTAATCCTAGCATTTTGGAGGCCAAGGTGGGTGGATTGCTTGAGCTCAGGAGTTCTAGAAACCCAAGCAAGAGGGAGACTCCCTCTCTACTGAAAATAGAAAAACTAGTCCCAGCTACTCAGGAGGCTGAGGCAAGAGGATCAGCTGAGCCCAAGAATTAGAGGTTGCTGTGAGCTATGATTCCATGGCACTCTACCTAGGGCAATGAAGTAACGAAGTGAGACTTTGTGAAACTCTGTCTAAAAAAAAAAAAAATTGGGAAAATTTATCATGTTCCCAGTAGAACATCATGCCATTATGAGAAACCATAAAAGATCCTATCTCAGTTGGATAGGAATGTCACTAAGGGGAATAGTGGAACATTCAGTACTGTGTACTCTATGTGCTTGAAAAATGAACAGTGTCATTGTTGTCTTGTTTTTAATCCACAAAAGAAATTTTCTTTTAACTTTAATTATGTTCCCTTTTTTTTTTTTTGAGACAGTCTCACTATGTTGCCCTTTGTAGAGTGCTGTGGCGTCACAGCTCACAGCAACCTCAAACTCTTGGGCTTAAGTGATTCTCTTCCCTCAGCCTCCCAAGTAAGCTGGGACTACAGGTGCCCACCACAATGCCCGGCTATTTTTTATTGCAGTTGTCATTGTTGTTTTACTGGCCCGGGCTGGGCTTGAACCCACCAGCCTTGGTGTATGTGGCTGCCACCATAACCACCGTGCTAAGGGCGCCAAACCACTTTGATTATATTCTTGATCTAATTTTGGTTTGGTCCTCCTTCTGTAGAGGAATAGATTTCACAATTGTAACATGCTTGGGGATGATATGAGCTGTCCAGGTTGGTAGAGTGGTGGGAAGTGGCCCTGGAGGTCCATGAAGACATCTTTTTTTGTTTGTTTAGCAGACCCCAGCAAGGTTCCATCCTGCTAGGTCCACAGGGCTGGCACTCTAACATTGAGCCACAGGTGCCCAGCTCATGGTGAAGTCTTTTTTTTTTTTATTAAATCATAGTTGTGTACATTAATACTATCATGGGATATGGTATGTTGTTTCCATATACAATTTGAAATACTTTTATCCAATTGGCCAACATAGCCTTTATGTCATTCTCGTAGTTGTTGTGTTAAGACATTTATATTCCACATGGTGAAGTCTTTTTCTTTTTTTTTTTTCTTGGCCGGGGCTGGGTTTGAACCTGCCACCTCCGGCATATGGGGCCG